TTCATATACTGAGGCACACAAAGCAGTCATATAAGGCATCACTCCTAGATCCTTAGTCTTATTCTAGCATGTTGTTCTACAGGAACTGATAAGCATATATAAACTTGTATGGGTACATTGGGGAATACTTACTTGAGCTCGGCTGGTAGCGCACATCACACACTTTGTTCTTCCTTAAAACCCTTTACTTAGCCTTTTAGAAAACATTTTCTCTTTCCAAAATCTTTTAATCCCTCGATTTGAGTTCGAACACCCCCAAAGGTGTGTTCGAATCCCTCAAACCAGGGCTCTGACAACAACTTGTAAAGTCCCGAAAATACGAGCCAAAAATTTCATTTTGAAAACATATATTTAGCCAACATTCGAATTAAAAACGTTTACTGATCATAACATTTTATAAAAATATCACATGTCTGGAAAACATTTCATAAAAACATAATAATGCTAGAGTACAATTTCCCAGGAAGATCTCGTGATGCGGAATATGAAGCATGTGTGTGACGGGCCGCTACCGCGCCAGCTCTTTCCTCTTCGAAGAACAGGTACCTGAAACCAAAACTGAAAACTGTAAGCACGAAGCTTAGTGAGTTCCCCCATCATACCACATACCATACAATCACGTATCATACATATTGCCAGGCATTTCTGGGGTGCCAACCTACCCGTGTCAAGCCATTATGGGGTGCTGACTACCCATGTCAAGCCATTCTGGGGTGCTGACTACCCTTCAGTCCTAACGACCGAACCTCGGGGACTATTTCACCCCCTACTGCTACTATCATATATTATAACATAACATTTTATCAGACATATCCGGGGTACCTGAACTACCCTTCGGTCCTAGCAACCGAACTTGGGGATTGGTCCCCTCCTACTACCTCTATCGCATATAACATAACAAGCCAGCATGCAAACATATAATCGCATACTGTCAGACATATCTGGGGTGTCTGACTACCCTACGGTCCTAACAACCGAACTCTACTACTATCACATACAACATATCATGCTAGCATATAACATATCAGGTAGTAGCAAACCTAGATGATATCACAAAGACAATCATCTATCATACATCTCCTACTGGTGGGCTGGCATTGTGGCCTTAGACCCACCACTACTGGAAGGTAACTCACCTCGAAAGTAGCTGCTGAAATCTGCTTGCTGAGCGTCTAACTGCTGGATCGCAAATCCTCCGGCTATAAACCATAAACATAGGTTAGACACCCATAAATACAATTAGGTCAAAAGACTGACCCTCCCTTGGCCCAAGGTCAGCCCATTGGTCAAAGTCAATGCCCATTTAACTGGACTCGCAGAGTCATGGCTTGGACTCGCCGAGTCCTTTTCCTAGTAACCCGGTCCTACTCAACCAGTCCTTCTTCCCACTCACTGAATCACCCTTCACTCATGACTTGGGATGATTGAATTGACTCGTGACCCGACTCGCCGAGTTTGAAGAACAACTCGCCAAGTTCTAGGCAATCTTCATAGGACTCGCCGATTTGTTCATCCAACTCGCCGAGTCTAAGGCCATCTTCATGGAACTCGCCGAGTTCCTCTTTGGGACTCGTTGAGTCCCTATGACCCATTTCCCATATAGGCCAAATCTGAGACATGCAACGCTTCAAAACCATAGATCCATGTCCCTTGAGCATGCTTATCACGTAAAGTTGCAAACTTTACGTGCATGCATGGCCCTATAAGCTAAAAAGGCCAAAACTAAGCTCTTCAAGAGGTCATAGACTCCATGGGGACCTTAATCACTTCAACCACAGGAACTTTATGCTACTAATTCATCCAATAAGTCCAAATCAGAAGTCCTTTCGGATCATTAAGCACCACACATGGAGCTTGGTGATCTAGGGCTTGAAAACCACCAATTTAGGACAAAAATGGCAACTAATGATCTAAAGATCAAGGTAGAGACTTTTCTACCTAAATGGAAGCTTCTCCCTGCGTAGAGTTCGGATCTACTCCTTTCCTTGCAGTATTCAACCACCTCTTTCTCCTTTTAATCTCCAATCTCATTCACAAGGCCAAAAACTCTCTCTAGATCAATAATGTGGGCTAGGGTCTCACTCTAATGCTCTCTGGGAGTGTTTGGGACAAAGGAGGCCAAGATAGAGTGTTTAAATACGGTGCAAACACCCATATTAGGTTTTTGCCCAACCAGGGCCTACTCGCCGAGTCCGGGGACCGACTCGCGAGTCCAAAGTCCAAATCCCGCTCCTTGACCCACTCCTACTCAGCGAGTTGGCCCATCAACTCGCCGAGTCCAAGGAATATATATATATATATATATATATATATATATATATATATATATATATATATATATATATATATATATATATTAAGAAAATAAATATCAAGGAGTACGTACTGGGAACCAGGTGCTACATCTATCCTATCCCTCCTACCACTATCATATAATATCATATTATACTAGCACATAAAGCATAAAACATAGTGACATACAAGATAATAATTATAAAAAGAATCATCTCTACTATAACTCTTACTAGTGGGTCGACTTTGGAGCCTTTAACCCATTTGTACTGGAAGGTAACTCATATCATGCTGCTGAACTTCACTGCAAGAGATCCTTAGTTGTTGTCTTGGTAAGTTAACATCCTGGTTGACTCAACTCTCCGAGTTAGTCCATCAACTCGTCGAGTTTTTGATCCATGAAACTCTAGAAATCTTGATCTTACTCGTCAAGCTCTTTCATGAACTCGTTGAGTTCCCCTTCAAACAGAATCGGGACATTTCACTCACAACTTCTCGAGTCCCTCCTTGAACTCATCGAGTTCCTCAAGCTTCATAACTCAAAACCATGGCCAACTCACTGATTAATCTCCTAGATTTAATGTGTTTACTCAGTAACAGAAAAGATTGGGGGACCACGACCTAACTTGCTGAGTTGTATGAACAACTCGTCGAGTCCCTCATAGTCTATATCCAATAAGTCACTTTCTGTTGAGTCCAACACTTCCAAACCATAGATATGATCCCCTAGAGTCAATATATCACGTAAAGTTAGAAACTTTACGTTGCATGCATGGTTTATTTAGCTCAAAAGATCCAAAAAGGTGGTTCACAAGTTCCATGGGACTCCCATGGCCATAAAGTTGGAACCTTTATGCCATGGAGTCCCTCAAAGTCTTTAGATTTGAAGTTACAACTTCATGATACCTTTAAATCCCGAGGATGACTTCAATATGGCCAAAGAATGGTAAACACAACCCTAAATGGAGATGTAATCAATAGAAAGCCAAGGTATCAACTTTGTACCTCAAATGAGTCAGAAAGATAGCTCAACTTCCGGATCTACTGGCTTCCTCTTGAATCCTCAAGCTTCTCCTTCCTTCTCAAGCTTTAAAATCACTAATAACACACAACAATGTCTCAAAAACACTCTAAGGTAGATTAGGATTTTGTGGCTAGGGTCTAGAGTGAAGTAGGCTACAAATGAGGCTAACCTCTAGAGGTTAAAGTGTTTAAATAGGGTGCAAAACCTTGAAAATTAGGGTTTCACTTTGGCAGCCCTACTTGTCGAGTTGAGGCTCTCGACTCGTCGAGTAGGCTTCAAGTCCCGCTTCTAAATTCCGTTACTACCCGACGAGTTTGGGGCCTCCAACTCGTCGTGTCCCTTTGTAAAATGAATGAATTGTTTTTCAAGTACATTCCAGGAGCCAAACATTACAGTGTGTGTGTAGGGGGTGGGGTCGGTGTATGTTTGTGGATGGGTGGGCACGCGCGTGTGTGTGTGTGTGGTGGGGGGGGTATATGTGTGTGTGTGTGTGTTTGTGGTGGTGGGGGTGAACTTGGGCTTGGGAGTGGGAGTGGGTGGATGTAGGTAGGTAGGGGTGTGATAGATTGATGGTAGGTAGAGGTGGATAGGGTGAGAATGAGTTTGTGTTTATATTTAAAAAAAATTGAAATTAAAAAAAATGTGGAAAACAATGATTATTGGATTTCCGAAAATTTCCCAACTTATTTGTAATTTTAGGAAATGAAATTTTTTAATTTTCCGCAAAAAAATTAGAAAAAGAAACGAATTAAACGCGTTTTCAAAATTCTTATTTTTCTTGAAAAACTTTTTCGGAAATCGATCCATTTGGGCAGCACTCCTGATGATGTTCCAAGGGGCAATGCACCTTGAGAGGTCCAAGGGACAGAACCCCTAGTGACGGTCACAATTACATTTAAATCTTTGATTTTGCCTCCAAATTCTTTAAAAAAAAACTATCTTTTCTTTATATGTTGAAGATTTTGGTTGTTAAATTGAAACCATCTTCTCTTCATATTATTTTGTAAAAATTCAGTCCTAAAATACATCAAACAAAACAAGGTATTATGTGTTTGAATTTGGATTGTTCTTAAAACTCAGATTGCATTTCTTTATTGGATTATCCCATCTACAAGGTACAAATCAGAAAATTGTGGAAAATATTTCATAGAGGATCTCTGAAGTATCCAAGTTGTTAGTCGTTACTAATAATATCCCTAATTTGGTCGAAATCATAAAATTTTGAGAAATATTTCATACACGATCCAAGTTGTTAGTTGTTACTAGTAATATCCCTAATTTTTAAACACCATATAACAAAATAAATAACTAAAAAGCAGAATTCAGATATTACTGTGATTTTACCATAAGATAAGATGCATGAGTGTCATATATCTTACAACTGATATCATTTTTACAACACGTAGCTTTTCTGTGTGCTACGATACTACACTAGTAAAAAAAGATGGAAATCTAGCACGTGTATATATCTTTATCTTTAAAGGCGTAATAATTTACACTCAACAGTTTTTCCCCCAAAGATACATATCAAAATATTATCTCAAACGATCTTTAACGACTTATTAGAGTCGTCTATTGAGTCGTAGGTAAAATACGTAGAAATACGCATGTATACATGTATACATGTATTAATGGACGTATTTTGATTTATAATTTGGAGAAAATTGTTGAAAATTCTTGTACCTCAAGATTCAAGAACATTTGAAGTTTGTAAAAGATCGTAAGGTGCCCAAAGTGTATCCAAAGGACAAGCTCTATTCCCATCTAGTCTAACCCATGGCTTCCCTTTCCCACTCCAATGCAGTAAACTCACCGGCCCCGGATGTAAATCACGGCAAAGACCTTGAAAATTATCACCACCTAATCCATGTTGGTTCCATCGGTGATCCACCGGAGCTATCTTTCCGGCGAAAACAAGTAGGAAAGGAGGCAGTGATCCCAGTTCGTATATCCTTATTCTTTTCTGTAATTCCATCCATTCTATAATCTTCGTGGTGTAATCTCCCTCGCGCCACCTTGCAAGATCGATCACCATGACTCCGGTGTTGAAGTAACATGCTTTTCGGTCGGAGAATGTGGCGGAGAGAGAAGGGTTTGACCAGAACGTCGGCGTGAAGTAGGATGTGAAGTTGGCGTTGCAATATTCCGGTGCGGCGAGGACTTTGCGATCAGTTTCGTCTCCGAAGGGTGTGGCGGCGAGTTTTGCAATGTCGTCGACGAGTACCAGGTCGGAGTCGAGGTAGACGACTTTGTTGACGCAGGCGGGGAGGAGGTCGGCGAGGTAGTTACGAGCGTAGTTTAAAGGGCAGTCGAGGGCGGAGCGAATGGAGGTTGAGATGAGTCCTAAAACAGCGGGGTCGTCGAATCTGTAGACGTTGAAACGGAGGTATGGGAAGGATGTGGCGAGTGTGAGCTGGATGTTGTCGGTGTATGCGGAGGCGGAGGCGACGAAATGGAAGCGAATGTTTTCCGGGCAAGAAGAGTGTTGAAGGACGGAAAGAATGGCAGCCATGGATCCCCGGAGGTAAGCAGCATCAAGAGTCATGGCGACATGAACTGCATTAGCGGAGCAGATATCATCGGCGGGAAGACAATTGTGTGAGTTGTAGAATTTGGGTGCTTCTTTGAAGTAAAGAGGTGCGGCGGCGGCGGCGGTGGTGGAAATGGCGTCGGTGGAGATAAGTAATAGAAGTGTTAATAGGAGAGAGAGATTTGAAGGAGGCATCTCTTTGGTGGAAGCATAGATCTCTCTCTCTTTCTTTTTTCCCAGTTATCAGTGGACGATGATATGGTCTTTTGACAGTTTGAAGATTTAAGTCTAAAATATATTTAAATTATTTAATAACAATATTCCATGAGCCTAGAATATATACAAATTATTTAGTAACAATATTCATAAACAAATAAATAATTTAGTTTAAAGCCGATTAGTGTATAGGAATACTAAACGCCTAGTTTCCTAGTTTTTTGATAAATTCATTAAAGGAAAGCAAAAAAAAATTTTGACCGAAAAAAAGGGAGGGGAAGAAAAATATTAATTATACCGTGTTCCCGAGTTCGAAGGAAATAAAAAGAAATGAGAGGAAATTTTTAAGTTTTTGTGTTCCGGAGTTAAGTGGAAAAAGAAAATAAAATTTGAAAATTTTCTTCCCCTCACTTTCTTCCCAAATCCGTCTAATTTGGAAGGAAAATATGACTCCAAAATGCTTTCCCTCTCTTTACTTTTCTTCCATTAATGAAACTCGGGAAAACGATTTTCCTTCGATAACCCTCACTTTCATTCCGTATCCTCTCATTTTCCTCCTTAAATAGAAATCGGGAACAAGGCGTAAAATGGTTGAAGGGGTTGTTTCTTTTATAAATGGCTTATACTCTACTGCAAGGCCGTCTTAAAGAGTAGATGGTGGATAATAGGGGCGACCGTTATAACCCACTTTTCAAAGGGTTAAATTTTTTTTCATTGAAATTGTTATATTTAGAATATAGTACAAGTAATTTTATATTGGTTATTGCGTTATTATAAAAAACATGATGATATTTGTGTATTTTAAAGGTCTAGTTTTTTTCTCTCGTATTGAGCCTAAAATATATTTGGAACGAACCTATTCTATCGGTCTCATGTGTTGTGGAAAAATATATTGCTTTTTAGTGTTCGAGGGTTCTAGTCATATTGTTGACAATTAAGTAGATTTGAGGGGCTGGAGTGTTAGGTTTGTTATTCTCTCTCTCTCTCTCTCTCTCTCTCTCTCTCTCTCTCTCTCTCTCTCTCTCTCTCTCTCTCTCTCTCTTATACTTTAGTTATTTTGTATTTTTATAATTTAGGGGTTAAGTAGATTGGAAAAATATGGTTTCCATGTGGTGTTGTTAGAAAAAATTGAAAAGAGAAGAGAAATTTTTTTGATAGGACAGTGAGTTAGAATGGAAAGATGTGTGTTAGCCATTTCAAAAAACAATTATAGGAGATTAACTAAATTGATACGTATGCTTATTCATTTTTTACGAAAAAAATAATTTTTTTAGCAACTAAGGTCATGCTTCGGGTGTCAGCTGATAGCTGAAAAACTAGTGTTCAGTTTATAAATTACCTAATAAAAAATAACGTTTGCTAAAAACTATATAATAAACCAACTGAAAGATATAAAATGATATTTAGGATAATAATTTTTCTATAACTAATTAAAGATATATTTGGAATATTTTCCAAAACTCCTCACAAGGTAGTGTAATTAGATTTTTTATAAACTAGCTTATAAGTAACTTTTTGCCTTATCAAAATAACAACTTAAATACGTTTGAAAAAATAAACTAGCTTATAAGCTAGTTATTGCATGTCAAACACAATCTAATCAACTACTATAGAATGGTGCATTATGGAGTAGAAGGAGTATATATATATATATATATATATATATATATATATATATATATATATATATATATATATATATATATATATATATATATATATATCCTATGCCTAAATGTCATTTTGGAAAATCCAGAAAATCATAACCCTAACTTTGAAGTTTTTCTTTGTTTCCAACCATGGATTCCATAAACTATCTTAGTTTTACATATTAATGTAGTTAAATTTATATGTATATGCATATATATCATTTCCAAAATACGAAGAACAACTTTGGAATGCATATAATATGTGTAGAACTGCATATAACATGTCCTTTTTTTATTTAAATGTATCTATATAATAACTGGTTACATGCTAGTAGCCTAAAACCCCTAGTAATACATCATGGAATGTTAAGTAATATACTTAATGTTTTGTTACACTTGAATCCTAGTAAGTTTCCTTCCAACCCTTTAATTTGCAACTTTTGGCAAGTTTGGCGCTTATGCGGGGTGTACCTAGATGGTATGCCAGGCGTAAGGGGATTTAACGGAATGACACCATTTGATCGAGTACGTTGGGTGTACTCCGAGTACGAAGGGCGTACTCCGCCAGGACTCAAACCCTAATATTTAGGTTTTAGACCCTATATATTACACCGTAAGTCACATTTCCTCATCCTGTTTCCAGCCTCCATCACTTGAAATGTTGCCCCTACAAACCCTATCCCTGTTGTTGCATTTTTAAAGCTTAATATTGTGTTTTTGTGTGTTTCGAAGGGAGAATAAGGTAGTGGTGAAGCTTGGAAGCAAGAAGCAAACTTGGATCTAGAAGTCTTACATCATCCTCAACCTCCAGAAGGTATAAATTTCATACCTTGGTGATTAAGTTGATAGATCTTGTTGTATGTTGATATTATCAAATTTTGTCCCCAAATATGCCTTTCTTGTGCATGACATGCTATAGATCAAATGAGATGTCCTTTTGGATGTTTTTCTAGGCTAAGAATGATAAAAATGTGCTCTTGACCCCTTAGTTCTTCCCCGTGAAAGAGTTTGGCTGTCTTAATAACATAAGATGTTGGGGATTTTGTTGTTAAGCACATTAGGGCCATGAAAAACCATAAAGTTGGAATTTTATTGTCATGGACAACATTAGGGACTTGGATCTGTAGTTTGGTCGAAAAAAGGCTTATGTATTAGGCCCTTAATGAGTTAAGAACATTTAGATGTGTATGTTGGGTGTATCATGCGGTACATCACACATACACAGTTAGACCCCATCTGTTTCGGTCGCAACCAAGAACGCCTTGTGTAAGATAGAAGAACGCCCCGTACTAGAGTGAGTCGACTTGGCTGGGTTGACTCGACTGATGTATTGTTTTTTATCAATGTTGACCTAAGTATATTTTCGATAATTTTGTATTAATTAAGGTTGTACTATGAATTGCATAATAGGTGATGGACAGAGCCGATATCTGGGGTGGAGACTTATTTCAGCTTGTGTTTGGTTTGAAAGGTGAGTTCTCTCACTATGTCAATGGGTCTAAGGTACCAAGGTCAGTCCATTTATTAAGTTTATGTATCCTAAGGTTTAGGATTGCTATGTTAGTTCTATGTGTTATTTTTTGTGTATATCTTGACATTTGTGTGGTTGGGTTGAGGCCACGGGACAACAAACCCGGTATGGTTGGGTTGACCTTGGAGGTCAACAAACCTAATATGGTAAGGTTGAGGTCACGTACCAACAAACTTGGATTGTTGGGTTGAGGTTTTACTGTTATGCGTTGTAAACCAATAAACCCAGTATGGTTGGGTTGATGTAAAGGACCAACAAACCATGTATGCATGATTTTATTGTATTTGTATATGTTTGTAGTGTGGGGTATTTTAGGAAGCTCACTAAGATTTAGCATACAATTTAGATTTCAATGTTTCAGATACTTCTGATAAGCAGGGAAAGATGAAGGCATGACTGTACACATCATCCTGTAGTTTATGTTGATTGATACTTGATTTGATGTTTTGACTTATATAACTTGTGAACAAAGTTTTGGTAACTTTTGGGCTTGTAGACTGTGTTTTTAAAATGAAAATTTTTCCTTTGATTTTCGGGTCGTTACACGTTGGTATCAAAGCCCTGATTTGAGTGAATTGGAGGAGCATTCGTGTGACTCCAGACTCAAAATAAGGTTCTGCCAAAAGATTTTCCGAACATTGTTTTCCAAATAACCACAATAGGGATGTGGTGTGTACAATCAGTCGGAGCTCAAGAATGTTTCCCAGAATACCCACACATGTTATGTTATTTGATAGAACTAACTGCATGCTAAAATGTAGGCTAAGGATCCTCAGGAACTCACATGATAGATTTGCCTCATACATGATACATTATAGCATAGGAGATTTATTTACATTATTTATTTGTAACCCACATTTGTGTTACTATTAGCTGAGTATATGCACTATAATTGTACATAGTTAGGATCTTATAGCCTTAGAATTCTTTATTTAGTCTTACTTCCATGTTCCTTGTTTGGTTGTGGGCTTAGGGTAAAATCCCTTATTTGTCCGTCTATCAGATCTGACGTGATGTATGGTTGGCCTGCAGTGTTAGTGGAGGTTTAATGGGTTGTTAGAGGGATTTACAGAGTCCTAGTATAACTATTAGGGGTGGTCACTCATTTAGGAGTGTGGTTTAGGGTGTGTGTGCACCAATCATAGAGGGCCTAGTGACCCAAGGGTTTTGTGGTGATCACTGAGATAAACACGGGTAGCAGTGGAAGGTAGTATAGGCTCGTACTACTAAAAGAACAGGACCCGTACGCGTGTTAGGGAAACCACAAGACCTAAGGTGGAGATATGTAAGAAGTAGAGAGTTAGTCTATTGGTTATCTAATGAATTTATGTTTATTTTTCAGCATGGTGGGCACTAGAGGTTTGGGATCTAGAGTTGGTGGGTTAGGATATGCTGAGCTAGAGTGGCTGGTTATACTGGATGAGAAAATTCGTGAGTTGATCTCTATCGAGGTAGTTACAGATCTTCAGGGTGCTATCCCGAAGTGTAACACCCATGCTTCCAGGTATTATGTTTATTTATGTTTTGAGGACTATTGATCGACTCGACATGTTGGTGCTACAACTCGTCAAGTAGGGTCGTGATGTGCCACGTAGATTAATGATCTACTTGACGAGTTCTAGAGCCGACTCGCCGAGTAGACGCCGTGAAGAGAAACACTAAATTCCAGGGTTGGGGCCTATTTAAGGGCACTTATAGCCTCATTTGCAGCTCAACAACTGCTTGCCTTCATTGAGAGAAACCCTAATCGTCCTTTGAGGTAATAGAGAGGACATGTGAGTTAATATTGAGTATTTTGG